TTACGTCTTAAAGTAAGCTTGTAGACAAAGGCGTTGTGACATCTCTACATAGGATCTTGACCTGAATTTTCACAATTCTTGCAACGTTCGAGTCAATATGATAAAATCTGCAAATGAAAATAATCATTTTCCTCTGGAATCATCAAAAGTTTCGGTCGATCATCAAAGAAAGGATAGATCTGATCTAGACATTCGTTTGGTCAGCAACGCGTTAATCAATCCGGTGAAGTTTCTGTGGGAGACTACATGTCCCCGCGATCGATATTCGCGCCAAGTCAAGCCTGCGGCTGAACAAACAACTTTCGTATGCTCCTCCATGATACTTGCGACACCGTCGCTGGCCCATTTATCATATGCGCGCCGAATTCGGTGTGTTTCGTCAGCGAGTCAACATAGTCCCCGCTTCGTTGTCGCCGTCGGTGCGAAGAAAGGAGCCGCATTTTATCCAGGCTGGAAATTAATCGACGCACGCCCAAGAGGCTACAGTGCATACCGTATCGTTCGAAAGTCCCGGGACAACCATGCCTTTCCGTCTCAAGGACGGACTGTGTGCCAATGAGCGCCAATCATCGAATATTCCCGATCATCGCGAAGCCGAGCGAAATCGATCTTATCGTCATTCGCAACGGCGCGCAGTCCCTCCAAAGAGCGGACGGACACTATCGGCTGAGATCTAACGACTGTTCCGTGCATATCTCGTAGCGCGTGGCTCATTCGTTACTCCCTATAATTGCTTGCTGACAATGAACGTGAGGATCGGTTCGTAAAACCGGATGATGAACATTTAAAAGAAACAATATTGTATAAACGTTGTTACACAGGAAAAAAGTAATTCCGTTGGTGTAACCTGAATTTTCCATTTGTCTGTAGGTTCATTCTGTGATTTTTACGGCTCAGAAATGAGGAATTAAGTATCAGGGAATAAGATATTTTCAGAATAAGCAGCAGTTTAAAACGCGATAAAAGGAATAGAGAATAATGTGAGGATGTAAGGATGTTTTGAAACAAAGTCACCACTTTTACTACATACAGGGTGTTTTACTGCATATATAAGGAGTTACGAGTCTACTAAGGAAACGAAAACTCGGTCACAGGAATAAAAAGATTCCTGCAGGGGCTCTCTGGTCAATCGATCGCTCTTACTAATCTCAGTCGAGTTTCGACGTAGCCGAATCTTCACACGACAATATTCCCAGCCGCCAAGTAACCAACAAGATATCAGTTCTCGTCATCGAGATTCCCTTCATTGCTCGCCATCGAATTTTCATCCGATCCCCGTTCAATTGCAGGAACAGAATCTTTTTCTTCCCGTGTAGCGGCATTAAACGAGACGATCGGCAATACATGAACCACCTGGGAACGCCGAAGAAAGGCTCGTTAACTTTCCACGCGTCGCGATTAAAGCGCGCACAAAGGGCTCTTGTTGCTGACGATCGACCCGACACGTTTGCGAATACTGCGGAATAATAGTCCAAAGAATAATGGAGAGGTTTTCTCTCTCTCTCTCTCTCTCTGTCTATGTTTTATAATATGCTTGGAGAGAAGCGGTAAAAGCTACACGGCGTTTCCTGTAGGTCGTCGCTAGGTGTGGTACCGCCTGTCTTTTGTGCGCGCGTTTTGCTCTCGGCTTGGTTCAAGGAGATCCAGAAGCGACGGCGCGGCGCACCGACAACGACGGCGAAACATGCGCTGAGTTACGACGTTCTGAATCTGAATCTCTTTCTCTTCTCTCACGGTAGACACGCCGTGTGCGCGCGTTCTCGCGAGCCGTGCTCCTGCCTCGCCCCGTATTCGGGTCAGCCGAGTAGTAGAAATTACGTAACACGTGTGCGCCGGGGCGGTTCCCACCGAGCCGCCTTTACCGGAAGTCGAGACTACGTTTTGTCAGTAAGGACGCACGGTCAGCCTCGTAAGAATGGCGCGTGAGCGTGAAAATATGTCGTGCGTTGCGCGTGATTATGTAGATTCGATTTCACGGATGGGTGGATGGGTGAGAAATATCGTGAGAACTGAGAAAGGAACATCGAAGAGACGTTCAAGGACTGATTCAACTGGATAATTGATTCGCATAAGGGCGATGATGAACGATATCTGCCATCGTGACTTTCTCGAAACGTATCCGAGAGTTAAGAAAAAATATCCAAATTAAAGAAATGGATATAATTAAATGTAAACAACACATAAATATTATACGAAAACTAAATTTGTTAAATTAAAGAGTTAAAAATTAAAATTTAAATGGGCAAGGCAGCTTCAGACTTATCCACATGGTGGACTATTAGTTTGCTAAAAGTATAATTTGTAAAACTTGCGTTTGATACGCGGAATTTCTCGTAACGGGTTTTAGAAACATGTCATTCAAATAGTAATAAACCGATGCGATTAAATGTGAGCAACTTAAATATTATAATGCGAGCTAAATCTGGTCGAATTGGAAACTAGACTGCATTGCATAGACGGTTTAAATAAGTAAAACCCGATATGTGTGATTCAATATGAGCAACACAAATATTATGATAAATATTATAATATTATAACGCGAGAAATTTGAATTTAAATTAGAAACCAGACATTAGAACCATGGAGGGCTCAGATCTGAGTTTATTCACATATTGGCTAATCAATTTAGTAAAATATTCGACTGTAATTCGTAAAATTCGCGTTTGATCTGATTGGATTAGAAATGAATTAGGAAGTTAGACGGCCTGAATCTACCCACATAATGGGATTATCAGTTCGCTGAGAGATTAATCCGTAAAATTCGCGCTTGATACGCGGAAATTCTTGCAACGGGTTTACAGACTCGGCGCGAGATCCAGATGCAATCTAGCAAGCTGTGCCTTTTACGACGTCGTCGGCAGTACGCCTCTCTCGTGCACTCAACAGCCCCGCGCATTGCCGGGCATTTGGTCGCGAGCGATAAGGAATTTTGCCGCGCATACCGTTCGCGTACACGAGCGTTCACCGATCCGCGAAACTCACTCTCTCCTCCCCATCTCTTCTGCTTCCTATCGCCTATAAGCCTACCTCCGCGATGTAGATCCGGTTTCGTGCCCGGACAACCAAGACCGTATCAATTCCATTCCGTAGCTCTGGCAATTTCAATTGCACCTCTCGCGTGACGCGCGATCAAACTACTTCCTTTTTCGCCGCGCGTAACGGACTGCGTTGGCTCGCGAGTGTGTGTCTGACATGTACCCCGCGTTTCTACTTGACGCCATCGACGATCGCGCTCCGTCGGATCTCCATACCGTCCCTGTGCGCACGAATATTCGGAACTTTAATCAGTTTTTATCGCTTTTGATACTTTCCCGATCGCATAGTCTATCGAACAGATTTATTCTTATATTGCGCTGCTAGAAATTTCCTGTATTTTTTCATACGGTTACTGAACAGTTATATTCTCATGTAGCACAAATATTCAAAAGACCTTCTAGAGACGTCTCAGAGATATTCGTACATATTTTTATCAGAGAAACTGCCTCAGACACTGAATAATTTTCTGAATAAAATTTTATCGAGTTCTTGTCCATTTCATGCAATATTGTTACAATTAATAAGAATGCATTAATTACTAGATAGTAACTGAATGGGTCTAAGAAAATCGCATGTCATACATTTCTACTGTGTATAAGCAAAAATATCTGCATATTCTTTTATCAATTGTTTTGAGACTTTAGTGGATTCTACAATAAAATATTGGAGAAGAATAAATTCTTTGATTATAAAGAGCTTTCAGTCAATTAGATGATCAATCGAATACAAAAATGGGTTGGTAAAAGCCAAGACAAGTTACATATTGTGAACAATTTTAATTGGGATCTATAACTTTCAAATTTATTGCGGAAATAGTAACATAATAGATATAAATGTTCTGGGTTGTTTCGCTCGGCTGATTCACTTCCAATTTGCGCTTCTCTTACACAATTCGTTACTTCAGTTAATTATTTTCCAATATTTATATGACTCCTGAAAGTCTCTTGTTGTTATATTAAAGATAGTAAAACTATAGAGTTTATATTTATTATATTATTACTTCCATAATAATATTTGGAAGCTATAGGCTTCAATTAAAATTTTTCGTAATGATTTATGCTATCTCACTCAGCTCATTTCTATATTTGGAAAAAAAATTCTTTGTAGGAGATATATTGAAAAGCTTTCGCGTACACGTTTAACATACTAAAGTCTACAGAATTAAATTAGAAATTGAATGTTGAACTGAATGGATGAATGAAGCGTTGAATGAAATTGATAGAAAAGCCTACAAATTAAGTTAAAAATTGAATCTTAGTACCATGGCGGGTCTAAGCTCGCCATAATGCTATTGTCAAATTTCTAAATTAATCAGATTCAGCTCGCGTTATACTATTGTTTATACTTAATCGTTTTTTTTTATTTAAATAACATGTGTCTAAAATCCGTTGCGAGAATTTCCGCGTATTAAACGCGGTACGCGTTTACGAGTTACTTTCGAATCTCATAGCGAACTAACAATTCATTTCGCAGATAAAATCGAACTCGTCATTAGGTGCTATCGTCAAATTTCTAATTTCATCAGATTTAACTCGCGTTGTAACATTCATGTTGTTCACACTTAATGACATCAGTTTTTTTTTTAAATTTAAACGACATGTTTTTTTAAAACCCGTTGTGAGAATTTCCGAATATCAAATCTGCAATTTTTATTAATTACCATCGGATCTCTCGGCACTGATAACTTACGAATGATTATTCACTACGTGGATAAAATCAAGTCTGTACTCGCCATTAGGTATCGCCTAATTGGCTATTGTCAAATTTCCAATTTTATCAGATTCAACTCGCATCGCGATATTCATGTCGCTCCTGCTCAATCGTTCTGTTATTAATTATTTTTTACAAAAACCACCTGTCTCGTTACTGCGGTTTTTGCTCGAAGAAACTTCCCTGAAAATTTCTAATCGTTGCGAGCCGCTTTCTTCCGTGCGCAGCACGCGTAACGTCACATCAACATATTAATGCACGCGCCAGTCCGTCTTGTAATAAAGTTCCTCGTGCACTTGCAGGTAATCCCGGCGTGTTTACTCGCTTTAACAGAAGCGCGGCGAGCAGCCCCGCAGCTGCGGCCTCGCGTGGCGGAACCGCAGATATACTACGAGGAAGAGGACAACCAGGCGGCCGAGGACGACTTCGAGGGGGTCTATCAACCGCGGACCCGCGCGCTCCCGTCGCCGCGCTCGAAGGATACGTTGCACGCGTCGAAGCCGCCGCCGGTGCAGACCATCAGGAACTACAACAAGGTGAACGACGACGGGTCCTTCACTTTCGGCTACGAGGCGGCCGACGGCTCCTTCAAGGAGGAGACCCGCGGCACCGATTGCGTGGTGCGCGGCAAATACGGCTACATCGATCCGGACGGCAACAAGAGAGAATTCACTTACGTGTCCGGTAACCCCTGTGACCCGAACGCGCCCAAGGACGAGGAGGAAGAGCTGCCGGAGAAGGAAGAGGAGGAGCTGGCCGGGCCGGCGAATTACCCGGCCGTGAGACCGGTGCCACGACCAGTCCCGGTGAGAGCAACGTACCAGCCGTCCACCACTCGAACGCCCACGACGATCTTCCAAACGGAGTACCAGCTGGACGACGACGCCAGTCAGGAGCTGGAGGAAGAGCTGAAGCCGCAATTGCGACCCTCCGCTTTCCGAAGGCCCACGACCTTAGTACAGGTCACACCCTCCACCGCGCTGTACGACTCCTCGCAGAGCCCTAGCCCGTCTCTCTATAGGTTAGCCTCCACCCCGACGGCCCAGTATCAGACCACCGCGTCACCCGTGCTCCGTAGCCAACAATCCACCGTCGCTTCGAGCGTCTATCAGCCGATCGAGACGACGACACGTCGGCCGGTGGCCCGCCACCCCAGACCCCAGTCGGTAGCGATAACCCCGCGACCCCACGTAGCCCAAGTGGCGGCGCAATACGTCTCCCCTAGTAGCACCGAGCGTCCCGTCTACACCCCGAGTCGCCCTACCGTGCCGGAGTCGGCACCCCATCTGCGCACTACGACCGCCACTAGTACGCCCCATCTCGACTTCGCCGCCGAGCTCGAGCGTTACGTGAACACGGTCGGCGTGCCCCCCAGGTCCCAAGCCTCGCCCCAAACCTCGAGAGTTAAGCTGACCGGTCAAACGACGGTGACCGCAGCAGCGGCAGACCCCATCTACCAGTCGGAGCTCGTTTACGATCCCGCGACCGGTCAGTACAATACCCAGCTTTATCAGACTCTGCCCCAAACCGTGGGTGACTTCAGCCTCAGTCACAAACTCCAACCGTTCGTAGCCCAGCCCCAGTCCCTACTCGGTCTGCAGCAGCTCCAACAGCAACGGCAGAGCCCGGTGTACAAGCAGGCCCAGTCCGCGCCCGCTCCCACCGTAGCCCAGCCGCAAGAGGTGCTCTACAGGAAGCAGCAGGCCCAGCTACTGCAGCAGTCCCAGCAGCTTTACGCGCAGCAGCAACGCCGCCAGCAGCAGCAGCAGCAACCCCACAGGCTTCAGCTGCTGGAGTCGCAGAGGGAGGGCGCCCAGGCGTTCTATTACGTCGCGCCCTTGAAGGCCTCCACCGCCAGCAGCACCTCCCTCTCAGTAGGTCAGATCGATCAGTTTCTCCGAGGTAGCGGCGCTGCCAATTACTGACACCGTTTTTGAGTCTCGCTCAGAGTCGCGGCGTTCCAAACACTTCCCGGTCTCTCTCTCTCTCTCTTTCTTGCTCTCTTGAGTCGTCGGTACTTATCATTCGGTGTTGCCTTCTCGCGAGCCAAGCCGCCGTGAATCTCATGTTGACAGATCGTGCATGGGAAAAAGAGTCCCTGCGACTGAACAGGGACCAGATGAAAACTCGGTGGCGAGAAATGATGTACCTCTGTTACATGAGAAACATTCGTGCGAATATTCAATTGTATCAGGACTCGGTTGACAGGCAACTGAGAGCAATTGATCCAACTGAAATCCCTTAACGGGAATCTTTCCGTTCCTACAACCGAGCTTTCGTCTGGTCCCCAGACAAGACGGAGGATTCAATTACATCAACGGAATTGCTTTTTCTGTGCGAAGATGGCCTTGGCGCGCGCGCATGTGTGTGTGTTACGCGCGTATAAAGATATATATTTCATATATTTATATCATATATATTATATTGAATATATATTTATACACAGAGAAAAATTAATTTTAAGTCAAGAATAGATATTGTCATGAACAAGTAAAATATCACAATCTTCTTAGAAGATTTTTAATCTTGATTCGACTGAATTTGTATTGACGCAAATATTACTTGAACTGAATTCAAGATTAAAAATCTTCCGTGAAGATTACAATATTCTTGTTTATATACGAGAACGTCCATTCCTGATTTAAGACTATTTTTTTTCTGTGCATACACATATATATGTTACATTAAATATATCTACACGTGTACCGCACGAGTGTGTGATGGCAAGTTGAGGATATACGAAGTATACTACTGAGGAGTGAATGGCGAACGCTTCGATGCACGCGTAGTGCACGCGGAATGTGCATTATATCCGACGAACTGCGCGTTCTCGGGAAAGGTGCGAGCGCGGTAATTACGGTGAAAAGTATTGCCACGATAGAGGCCACGGATTTACCGTTACCGACGCCGATCTTACGAGAGGCGTACTCGAGGAGACTTACCGTCGGTCCTCGCGGTTTCTCCGAGCTTACGTAACTCTCGTTTGCCAGAAACACGGGCGTTCCGAATTGTTTTGTTCGATAGCGCTTCGATCAGGTTTATTCGATTCGGCCGAACTAAATTGCACTTCTTGCCTTTAGAGCCTGAGAGAAATGTGTGTGACCTAACGTTGAGGGGAGAAGGAAGGCAGTTCCGGCTGAAACGAACAGGCCTATTGTTGTACGATGATAGGTGAGGGTAACCGTTGGAAGCGCGCGCCTCGAAGCGTTCTCGCGTTCATCCGCTCGTCTCTCTCGGTCAAGGTGCAAACGATCACTTGAGCCACGTCCACGTGCAAATCGGAGAACCGTCCGCTCTTCGTCGAAGGTTCAGGCGATCGGCGTATGTGATATATCGGACGAACCGCGCGCGTACGATGAAGTGAACAGCCGCGAGAACAGCGAATGACGCGGAAAGTCGGTGACAAAAGCACGATCGACGTGACAAAATTTGATTTTCTCCTATTCTCCTTTTATCTCGTGTTTCCTCCCCCACAGCTCTCTCCCTTGTATGACCTCGTCGCGTTTTCCGAGCAAGAAAGAAATCAATTTAAACGACGACGTCATCTCGGTAATACCGACGATTTGTCGGGATAAAACGCGTTCAGCGTGAAAAACAGCGCACAATCGTATTAATCCGCGCCTTTTAGCCGGGATCTTTCACATTTCTCTCTCAGGCCGTCTCGAGGAGCATTTCTTTTCAGCCCGGCACCGAGTGAAAGCCAACGACCTGACGCAATACTCACGCACGCATGCACGATGTATTACCGTGGCAATTTCTCGTCGTGGTCCCTAACGCCGCGCGCTATCGTAGGTAACCGTGGAGAGGTTCCGAGCGGAACACTTCATCGCGGACCTTTTAAAGCACGAGACCCTAGAAGCCACGTAATAGCGTTCGATTACAAAACGTCGATTCGAGTCGCGGGATCGAGCCGCATGAAAGGCGAGTGAAACGCGATCGCCGGAGGGCGAGGGGGGATAATAAGTCGAATCAAATCTGCGCGCGACGACGTACCGCGCGTACAATGTCGAGACGTCGCAACGCTGCTGTGTCATATACTACCCGTCGCACGTGGTTTCAAATCTCACCCGATTTTGTGCGTTTGAGAGTGTTCGCGCGAAATCACACGTCGAATATAACCGGATTCGCATGTCGATGAGAAATTCGATTAAAATCATCGGGTGAAGTCGAAATCATTCGTGGAAATCGGAAAAGTCGAAATCGATTTGATATCTGTACAATTTCATCGCGATACCTAAAAGATGGTGACGATCTGATTGTTATCCGGGTCATATCAAATTGACACGTAAGTGTTAACGATTCGACTTGGATATGATACTGATTATGTGCCAATTAGATCGTCAATAATCGGTTGACACCTATGTGAAGTCGTATCATATAGTTAGCTAGATATATACATCGATATGATATTAACAAAATGTAGCGTCGATCCTCTTTTGCATGTTAATGAAAAATCTAGCAGTTGTCAAATCGAATGGCGCGGAAAATCATTCATCGACATCGCCCAGACCATCAACTTGTGAAACCAGATTGTATATGTTATTAAAAATTATTTTCATATACCTTCTTCAAATGATATAAAGATCATAATGTTCACAAAACTGCATCTATTTGTGATTTAACTCGAAATAATTATTTCGCGCGTAAATCTCTTGATTCTGTTCCCTTTAACCGAACTGACTGAACTGGTTGGAAAGATTTACGTAAACATGTAACGTCGATGAGGCGTACGAAACATACGTGTGAGATTCTCACGCTTCAGTATACATAGATTTCTTGAACCGATGCGGCCGGTTTAATTTCAAAAAGAAGAGATCACCAAATAATATAGTGTCTGGTGATATCGCGAGGAAAGTATTTCGACTGAAGATTTCACGGCGCTTCCGATACTTTCGAAAGTGTCATCGTCAAAGTTTCTAAATTTCTATATCTGGTTTATTATAATTTCGAAATCTAGTATCGCGGATGTACGGTGTTTAAACTCGCGGTAAGAATTCTGTAATATCCGATACGTCAGCCCCGACACGTCAGTAGGAAGTGCGCTCGGCCTTTTGCAACGCGCTCGGAATTTTGCAAGCGTGCCGCGAGTAAGGTTCACCGAGCCGACCGTCCGGGGAAACCGCAATATGCGCTCTTATTGGCGTGGTCTGGTTCGTAGGGACAACATTCTATTCGCGCCGGAGCCGCCGTGGACTTTCTATTTGCATTCTCTGTCACAAGTGTGAGAATCGATTCGAATTTAATGCGCCCGGCGCGACTTCGCGGAAATACGTATCAAATGTCGGGAAACGGCAGTGGGTCGAACATTGAAGAAATCACTTTTACCGCGACGTCAGATTCGTTGATCACTATTATTGTCTGGAGTGTCCCCGGATATAATATAACGTCATCCTACAGCTATGGACTTAACGAACTTCGAATTGATCTTTCTTCGGTAGATGATTCGAACAGAAAATGATTTCTTCACTGTGATTACATACCTTGCAGACAGACAGTTAATCATCGAATTTCACGTTCGTTGAGATCAAACTCGTTGGAGTAAACTCGTTCGAAATTAATCCGAAGATTCAACCATCCACTTTTAATTTTATACAAGTGCAAATTGCCCGGCTTTATTTATGTTCCATCCTTACAATCCTCATTCCCATAAAATACAAAATTGAGGTAAACCTCGTTCGAAATTATCCCGAAGATAAACTCATGCTAAATTAATCCAAAAATAAACTCGTACGAAATTGCTCCGAAATTTAACTATCCACTTTTTAATTTTGCAGAAGTACAAGTTGTGTCAAAATAACTTTATGTTTCGCTCTTATTACATCGCGATCCCCTCATTCCCACAAGATGCAACTCAGTTTCTTGGATAGTCTCTTCATCGCAGTCGACGATTTCGTGGCTTAATCGCGGCCGTGTCGTTGCTACGATAGGCTCAAAGCGGCGGTTGTCTACTCATAATGTAAATACTACCTTTGTTAGCGTTAACGCGGCTACTTAGCGACTTATACGCACAATAATTGCGCATAAAATCTTCGTGCAGAAGAGTCTCTATGTTATTAAAGTTGTTTTCTTTTTTACATTATTTGTAAACATAACGGAAAGAAAAGTATCACTGCGGAACTCTGCTGCGCCGTCACTTCATTTCTCCCAATCTCCCTCATTTACTTTCGCTCGTTTCGCACGAATAGAGATCGGAGAACAGGCGTATCGGATGCACATTTAATAAAACCGTAACCGCGATAGATACATACAGCAACAAATGATTGATATCTCATTCCCGCGTTCCGTCGTGAATGCGCGTCGGGAGAAGTAGATAAAGGCATGCATAATAAACGTAGAATTGTCATTATTCACGTAGTAACGGATCTCGCGTCGACATAATACCACTCTTAATGTCCAAAACGCGAGGAAGAAAGCGAAGATACGCCTATTTGCGATCTCAGCGTTATAAATTACGTTACTTGTATATGTAATATACCGAGCTGAGAATAAATTATTGTCCTCGGTCCAAGTACTCCTTTGCTAGATATAGTGAGAGATTTGTTATAAGTAAATCCTTATATATAACTCTATGTTGTAACGAATAATTTAATGAAATAAATACAGACAATTGCGTGTTTTATAGTTTCTTCTTGGCCCCGACGGAGTCGAGCGACTTGAAATTCTGACTAACGCGCACAGCAAAAACATTTTGTACTTGTGTTAATATCGGTCTTGGTTAAAATTTTAGTGTTAAATTTTTACACCCGTGTGTTAATTTAACATATCGTGTTAACTTAATATTTTATGTTATGTCGATATTCAACGTGTGAACACTAAGTGCTAAAACAACACATTTTATATTTGAGAGTCGATTAAGTAATAATTTTGTGTTAATTTCTAATATAATATTTCTGCCGTTATTCAATGTATCAACATCTTGTGTCAA